CATACTTATTTAAATATCTTATGCATCTTTGCTTGCTGAATAACACAACAAATAAACGTTCAGTATGTTGAAAGAAAGACAACTAAAAACCCATGGAAATAATGTTTTGTTTTCTTTTTGAGTTAAAAACAGAAGCTGTAATGGAAGAGCCTGCTGTCGGTATATATCCAAATATATGTATAGTTATTTCATGACCAGCCTAAAGAGATAAAAAAGAACATTAAACATTTATATACAATTGATATATAGTAAAATGTTCTGTAAATGTTCTACCACAAGGAACCGTTTCTATTTTGTTGTTGGAGTCGGGGAGGAAGGGGGGGGAGCTAGCCTCATGCACATCTTTCTCTTCTAAAATAAGAGACTCAATTTGCTGAAGAAAATAAAAGTAGTGTTAACACTTAGGAAATTAATAGTAGTGTTAATACTGAGGAAATTAAAAGTAGTGTTAATACTGAGGAAAATAAAAGTAGTGTTAATACTGAGGAAAAGAAAATTAGTGTTAACACTTAGGAAATTAATAGTAGTGTTAATACTGAGGAAAATAAAAGTAGTGTTAACACTTAGGAAATTAATAGTAGTGTTAATACTGAGGAAAATAAAAGTAGTTTTAACACTTAGGAAATTAATAGTAGTGTTAATACTAAGGAAAATAAAAGTAGTGTTAACACTTAGGAAATTAAAAGTAGTGTTAATACTGAGGAAATTAAAAGTAGTGTTAACACTGAGGAAACAAAAAATTAGCGTTAACACTGAAGAAACTAAAAGTAGTATTAACACTGAACGAGTCTATTGATACTGTTGTAATTCTCACAAGTCCTATAGAACATTGCTTAGTTAACGACATCATTTGTCTTTCTAAGACTGGTCAAGAGGTCAAGAAATTTTCTCGAACAGTGATCCGCCTTTTATTGGTCGTTCATGACAAAACAAAAATATTAAAAGGAGGAATTCGTGTAAAATTTTCGTTTCATTTGTTCTAAATACTTTTGTGATGAATGAATAGTCGGAGAGGCAGGAAAACTTAATAGAAGTAGTATTATCTGTAATCTCCCCAGAAGGAGTGGCCCAGTGATCAACGAGACGCACAGAAAATTCTACGTTCATAACAAACGAATATCCATGAATTTAGTATCATGAAACCTTCCTAAACAAATTGGTTTGAAGAAAGTTTGTGTAACATTACATGTTATTGTGGAGAAAAGATTGACGTGTTGTGATTACTTTAGATAGCTAATTTCGGTTATTTTCTTCTGGTACGCCCTCTATGGACAATCTTCTAAACAAACAAAGAAAATAAATTACCCTTACGTACGTTTGAGAACTACTTATAACAAAGAATTTACACCGCGACGATTAGAATGAGTAGTATTAGGATATTGCGACTATAAACCCAACATTTAGAATAAAATTCTACGGCTTTACATAACTCAGAGTTTTTAAAATAAGTTAAACTGTAACGTTTAAAAGAGGCTTCGAATGGCATGATGGTTTGGGTACTCGACTCACGATCTGAGGGTCTAGGGTTCGAACCACGTTACCGAACATAATCGCCCTTTCAGCCACGAGAGTGTTATGATGTGATTGTCGTTCCCATTTTACACGTTGCTAATAAGAGTACTCAAAGAGATGACGGTGGGTGTTGTTGAAAAGCTGCCTTCAAATAAGGAACCACTAGCACAATTCATCAGATAAATGTAAAGAAGACTACGTTAATCAATGTCTCTTCCCTACTTTATTCGTTCGATACACATTCGACTAAATGGTATGCATTAGAAAGAAAGTAATCTAACTTATGTAAAATTGTGTGATATTTAAATCCTCGTGCTATTATAACATTTTTGTATAAAAACGAAGGAATTCAATACATTGACTGGCCACTTTATTATGACCTCCCTCCTAATATCGGCTTGAATTATCTTTCTTCACGATAATATTCTGAGTTCATCAACGAGTTTGAGTTCCATTGAATGAAGTCTTACTCTTCAAATCAAGTTCGGACAGTACAAGGCTGTTAAGTTGTAATATTATCGTCTCGAGCCTTTGTTCATCACGACGAAAACGCAGGATTGTGAGGAGGGTACAATGTAGAGGTACAATTTCAAAGTTATTTGCCCTTCTAAAAGAATTGAAACACTCAACTCTTGACCAGAGAATGTTTTCCACACCATTACGCCACCTCCAGCAGTTTGCATGTCGGAAAAACACAACACGATCATGTTCCTTGTGTGGTTTTCTCCATATTTTAGTCTACTGACAGTACAGAAAAGGTAGAAACATACTCATAAGATCACACCACTTGAATCCAGTCTTCCAGTAACAATGTTTTGTAAGCAACACTGGATCCATGATTCTTCTTTTTTGCATCTGAGACTGTTTTACTGCAGCACGATAGTTTTTGCAATAGTTTTGAATAATACGTTTTGAGATTGCAAAATATTGACTACTGTGAAACTAATTGGTCAATTGAATCACACCCTGAGGCTTATTGCACTTTTCAAGAGTATCCAGTCGTTTTTTTCCTACAGTTAATCTCCAAAAGGTTGCAGCCACATATTTATATATATTGGCACACATTTTTATTTTCGATCAGTATCGTTATTGATAGATGTATTTGATAAATTGATCAAAACAACGGTCTTGATAACGACGGTCCAGATAGACGTGCAACTAACATCATGTCCCTTTGAAACTCAAAGAGATTCTTGCTCTTATCCTTTGTCTTAAAGCATAACCATATTGTAAGTACATCTTTGTATTTGTAAGGTTCAAACAATGACCAGACATATCACTTGAACAATATCTGTTTGGAACTCATAATAAAAGAGCCAATTAGCGTATATTGTTGCTAAAATGTTTTGTTTCTAGTAAGCCAAATCCAAGAAACAGCTTTATGGTTATTAAGAGAGGAGGAGCCTCCTTTGATAAATTTAATCGTGCTCAGCTTTACAATAGAAATAATTTAAGAGGCAAAATCTTGCATGTTCAATCTACGTGTCCTTGTTAGTGTATCGTAGCATACGTCAAACATTTGTGTATATTGGCTTGGTGGTTAGGGTGAACTGACTGAATAGCATTAGAAAAGAAAGGAATAAGGATGAACCTGGGGCACCAGGACCATCCACAAAGAGACCTGCAGCAAGTAATGCCCAAACTGTGGCCAGCACAGTGCGGTATCTTGTAACATAAACTAGATGGATTGTGGGAAACTTGGAGTGTGATGTTTTGTGTTTTTGAAATGCAGCCCTACGTTGGAGCTGCAGGGCTATTGTCAAAATGAACGGCCGTCAGATAGAGTATAAACGGACGTAACGACATGGACTTTAATGACGTAGTGAGTCTCCAAAATCGGTTCAATATAACGTACTCAATACTTGTATTATCGAGATTGAACTATGTATTAAAGCTGTTTTGTTGGATCTATTCTAATATAAACAATTAAACTATGAAAATCAAGGGATATTTTCTAGTCCTGAAAAAAATTATTGTTGTAGTGTACACAATAAATCTTTACACTTACAGAATTTTAAACCTTGTTATTGTACTAGTGAAGAAGAAATATATAAACCTTTGGGGACAATTTGAATTTTAAACATTGTAATTATTCTAGCAAACAATAAATCTTGAAAACTTGAAAATATTTATAGATTGAAACATTGTTATTGTGCTAGTAAACAATAAATCTAGAACACGTCGAAAACTTTTTAGATTGAGATATTACTATTGTACTAGTGAACAATAAATCTGTAAAACTTTGGAGATATTTTGAGGTTTAAATAACGTTATTTGACAAAACAATATTATCGTAAACTACTAATTAGCAATACTCGAAGAAACAATCTTTTTTTCACAATCTATGTTATTAAGTTACAAAAAATCCGGATATTATAAATAGTACAAGCTCAGTAGACTTCATTTGTAAAAGACGAGCACGAGGGAGAAGATAAATGCAGCTTAGTTCAAGGGACAACTTAAATGTAACAAATCAACGGAACCAATCAAAAAATATCTTCATTCAGACATAGTAAGAACTAATCAAATCGATAAAAACTAATTTATTTTGGTCATCTTTTTATTATGGTCAACACGAAGATAAACTAAGATAATTCAGAATCAACAATTCATTCTCAATCCCCTTGGAAATTACCTCAATTCAAAAAATCTGGAGATAACTTGTTTTTTTTTATTCATGTAATGTGTTTAACGCGCCAGTTTGCATTACTTTGCTAAAGTCCACAATCTCTCCGTTTTTCTACTGATTAAAATTGAGCAAATCGCTAGCGACAATTTAAAAATGAAAGTCATTTTTCCAGAGAAGAGGAACCGTTGTGATCACTAAAGATAACGAAGTGTTTAGTCCTAATATCCATCTACGAGATGGGGTAAAATCAACATTATTTTCTGCTAGGCCAATCAGTACAATACAAAATATTTTTAATTATATCTTCTTTAATCATTTCATTGAAAAAGTAATTATGATCTTTCACCAGAAGAATATATTGTATACATATTAACGTGATTAAAATTAACCTTCAATTTATTCGAAATGTTATTAAAGGTTACTCTTCAATTATGTTAATAGTTCAATTATCGAAGACGTTACTCTATTTCCATGGCAGATTTAAATCGTGAGGCTAGAAATTGAAATTAGGAAAAATTTAACATTTATTTTTTCTTCTGATATGAGAGGTTGTTTAATAATTGACGCAATCATTTAAAGTTTTACTGTTTCTAAAATTCTTGTTTCGTTCAATGTTTTTAACCGAACAAAACCCACATAAGGGTAAATGTTCTTTACGTTATTACGTTATTCTTAAGTTTTCAGACTTTGTTAACATACATTTCAACAATTCCTGTTCTTTCTTCCCAGATTAACAGCCATAACATAACTGAACCCTTGACGATTCTTGTTGTTCCCCTGTTGCTAGGTTTGACATAACAACACAGTCTTGATTGGACTAACTATACATTAAAAAAAAAACTGAAAACATTATACATACCGTAAGAATGGCGATAAGAACAGAATAACCGTTGTTCGTCTGGTAAGCCATCTTATAGCCTGACTTCTCAGTCCGCTGTTTTCTTTTTAAATTCTCATAAGTCTACAATTTATATCAAACAGCTCTCGTCAGATGTTATTGTCCAGTGGAAAATGAAAGCCAATATACGCACTGCAATATTTTCTTGTAAAAGGCCCAATCTCTCTAATAGCACAAACGGTACTTGGATTTTACGGAATTTTAATTTAAAAAATCATCTCTACAAGTAATATTCTGTTATTCGACCATTTAAGTATTAATTACAACCTTATCCAGCTCACTTTACAAAGTTTTTAAAATATTTTGTTTTCTGTGTTCATAGTCACGTAATTACGATAAAACAGTTACTGGGAAAGATATTTCAACACTTTGATTTAAAATTTTTAACTAGTTTTATCGATGACAGTTATATACTAAATGCTGTTGAGATTCAAAGATCTATTGTTGTACACGCCGCTCACTGATACGCTTTACCCGCGTACTGGACCTGTTTCTTTGACTCTACTTTTTAGGCTAGCAATGCGCATGCGTGACAAACTGTCGCTGATAAAACTTCATTGTAACTATTAATCCCGAGATCGATGGAAATCCACCAGAATTTTAACGATAGAAGAATTTTTCTTTTAGAGAATGCAAGTATCGGGTGTTTGAAATTATGATCTTCAGATTTCATAAGTTGAAACACATAAATATAAAAAAAATAATTAACATTTGATCACGGTTTTCATGGAAATTATGGAAGAACTAAACCTCAAACGTTTGCCACATAAACCAAAAACATAAAATTTAGGGAGGAAAATCGGAAATTAACAAATTTATTGTTGTTGCTGTCTTACTTAGATAAAAATTGTAGCCCAGCAAACCAGTTTATAATACAGAAAAAAATCATAGCAAGAAAATTATAGTTTTGTCTTTACTTCCTTATTTCCCATTCTTGGAATAATTGTTTTACACATCCAAATATAAGTGTGTGAACTTTTCAGAGAACTAAGGAATAGTTTTGTTTTATACATCCAAATATAAGTGTGCGAACTTTTCAGAGAACTAAAGAATAGTTTTGTTTTATATATCCAAATATATGTGTGTGAATTTTTCAGAGAACTAAGGAATTGTTTTGTTTTATACATCCAAATATAAGTGTGTGAACTTTTCAGAGACCTAAGGTAAATAAAGAAGTGTCGTTACTTAACGTCTGGGTACAAACCAGAGAGTGAGAAATGTAACACAGATATCTGAAATAGAGCATTAGGGATACATCAAAGATGTTTGTGGTTATATATTATAATCAAAAACTTCCTTCCGACCTTTTGAGATACGTCGTCTATCAGAATGATCTCTCTTTGCAAGACTCGTGTGTGAAAAAAAAAGAACTAACGATGAAAGTTTTTTATATTATTGAGAGTGAATATCGGTACTCAAAGCCACAGCATTCCGTATCTGAAACAATTATTAAACGCCAGGAGTCACTTGAAGAAAGTTGTTTATCTTAATAAATCAGAAAAGCAAAAAGAATGTTATGGAAAGCTGAAAAAAAAAACACAACTGAAACACGTATTCGTAAATGAATTTCTAGGTTT